TTACCCCATTTCTCACATGGTTGTTACCCCATTTCTAGTTGTTACCCCCTTTCTCACGCGGTCGTTACCCCGTTTCTTAGTTGTTACCCCATATCTTAGTTGTTACCCCCTTTCTCAAGTGGTTGTTACCCCGTTTCTTAGTCATTACCCCATTTCTAGTTGTTACCCCCTTTCTCACGCGGTCGTTACCCCGTTTCTTAGCAGCAACAGCGCGACTTTTCTCCTCCCACGGAGGGAATTGGGGTGTCAACGTGGGAGGACACCATTTTTTTCCCCCCCGCCCCGGCCAGTTGTTGCTGAACGACCATGAGTTGATGGTCTACTCCCGGTTGATGGAAGAGCCCAAAGTCTACTCCCGGTTGTAGGTCTCCCTCTCGCCCATCCCGAACCACATCTCGGTCCCCGGGTACCACGGCCGGCGCGGTGGAACCGTGTTGTTCTTCGCCTTTACCTGGTGGCGTTGACCGAAGTTGAGGTAGATGCTCATCTTGTAGCTTTAATTGGGACCTTCCTCGCCCACCCCGCCCCACCCAAAGTTCCTCGCACTCGTAGCTCGTCCCTGGGTGCTGGTGGCGAGAAGAAGAATTTTTATTAAAAGTTGCTCCTCTTAAAATTATCCCCGAGCCTTCCGGCTTCTCGCAGGGTCAATGGCGGGTGGAGGCATCTCCAGGCCAATGTCTCGACTTGGATTTCCTTCAGCCCGGCCTCTCCGGGAGGATGAAGAGGAGCAGCCAGCGAGGTTGGGGATACGGTGATGGAGGTCGGAATGCGGTTAGCGAGGCCGGGATGCGGTTCCGCAACTGATTAAAAAAAAAAACAAACAAAAAACAAAAAAAAACCAAACAACCGTCCCCGACTTGGGTTTTGAATTTTGCTCGAGTTCTCGTTGAGTTACTGTGGCTGCTGTCGTTGACAGAGGACCTGACCCTGGACCCCGATTCGGCAAACCACCTCCTCATCCTCTCCGCGGACCTCAAGAGCGTGAGGATGGGCTGCAGGAAGCAGGAGCTGCCCGACAACCCCAAGAGATTCGACACCAACTCGCGGGTGCTGGCTACCACGGGCTTCGCGTCGGGAAGACACTACTGGGAGGTGGAGGTGGGGGCCTCGGACGGTTGGGCCTTCGGGGTGGCCAAGGAATCCGTCAGGAGGAAAGGCCTGACTCAGTTTTCCCCCGAGGAAGGGATCTGGGCGGTGCAGCAAAACGGGGGGCGCTACTGGGCGGTCACCTCGCCCCAACGCACCCCGCTGTGCCTCAGCCGGAAACTGAGCAAGGTCCGGGTCTACCTGGATTACGAAGGGGAAGAAGTTTCCTTCTACGACGCCGACAACATGCAGCACATCTTCACCTTCAACGTCGCCTTCCGGGAGAAGGTTTTCCCCCTCTTTTCCGTTTGTTCCACCGTCACCTACATCAAGCTCTGCCCCTGAGACTCCTCCCGGCCTTGGCCCGAGGGCCCGTCGGCCAATCGCCAATCGGCGGCACGGTTTGGGGGGGCGGGGAGGGAGGGAAATAAAAATAAAAAAATAAAATTAAAAAAAAAAAAAATTCAAAAAAAATCACCAGGAGGGTCGTCACGTCAGCTTAAAACAGAGGTGGGCGACTGAACGCGTCGGAGAGGTCCAGAGGGTCTTAATCCGTCTTAAACCTGTCCTAAACTCATTTTAAACCCATCCTAAAGCCACCTTAAACCTATCCTAAACCCATTTTACAACCATCTTTCCTAAACCCATCCTAAATCCATCTTAAACCCATTTTAACCCCATCTTAAACCCATCCTAAACCCACCTTAAACCTATCCTAAATCCATTTTATACCCATCTTTCCTAAACCCATCCTAAACCCATCCTAAACCCATCTTAAACCCATCTTAAACCCATCCTAAACCCACCTTAAACCTATCCTAAACCCATTTTAAGCCCATCCTAAACCCATTTTAAACCTATTTTAAACCCATTTTAAACCCATCCTAAACCCATCCTAAACTCATCTTAAACCCATTTTAACCCCATCTTAAACCCATCCTAAACCCACCTTAAACCTATCCTAAACCCATTTTACAACCATCTTTCCTAAACCCATCCTAAACCCATCCTAAATCCATCTTAAACCCATTTTAAACCCATCCTAAACCACCTTAAACCTATTTTAATCCCATCTGAAACCCATCCTAAACTCATCTTAAACCCATTTCAAACCCATTTTAAACCCATCCTAAACCAATCTTAAACCCATCTTAAACCCATTTTGTCCATTTTAAACCCATCTTAAACCCATTTTAAACCCATCCTAAACCCATTTTAATCCCATTTTAAACCCATTTCAAACCCATCCCA